CTTGTAGTAGGCAATCGATCACCTTGAAAGCCATTCCTCATTCATTTGGAGAATCCACAGGTCTGAAGGTAAACTATAGTAAATCTGTCATGGTACCAATAAATATTTCTGAGGAAAGACTTGATCACCTTGCAAGAGCCTTCAACTGTGAAAAGGGAAAGTTGTCTTTCACCTACCTTGGATTGCCTCTTAGCTTGACAAAGCCCAAAGTAATTGATTTCTCCCCCTAGTAAACAAATGTGAGAGAAGATTGGCAGCCACCTCATCCTTTCTGTACCAGGCAGGTTGACTGGAATTAACAAACTCTGTGTTTTCAGCTTTTTCAACATTCTGCATGGGAACTTTTGCCATCCATAACACAGTCATTAATCAGATAGATACATTAAGAAAACACTGTCTTTGGAGGGGAGCTGATATAAATGCACAACAGAGACCAAAGGCTGCTTGGACAGGTGTTTGTAGATCAAAGGAAGAAGGATGTTTGGGGGTTTTAAATTTAAAAACACAGAATGAAGCTCTACTGCTCAAGCACCTTTTCAAATTCTTCAACAAGGAAGACATTCCATGGGTTTCTCTGGTTTGGGAAAGCTACTGTAGCTCTGGAATCTTGCCATCACAATAAAAAAAGGGCTCTTTTTGGTGGAGAAATATCTTAAAGCTGCTGGACAAGTTCAAGGGATTGGCCATGCCAAATGTGAAAAATGGAGGCTCATGCTATCTTTGGTCAGATCTTTGGAACAACAAGGTGCCTATGCAAGCCTACCTGAGTGTTCTCTTTTGCAAAATCTAAAACAGTCACTCTAGCAGCTGGAAAGGATTGCCCAGATTTGCTATCCCTTTTTCACCTTCCGTTATCAAATCAAGCTTATGCACAACTAGCTCAGCTTAGCTTAGTGTAACACCCTAAATTTGCATTTTCTAGAAATAGCCAAATTGATTTATTTAATCAATTTTGGTGAGCATTGAAATATAGGAAACAAATAATTTTTATAAAACTAAAATCAAATATAAGATTAAGATTAGCTACAAGTGATGCATACATGCTGCTGCATATTTATTTTTGCGATGAATGGTTTTGATTCAAATTCCAAATGAATTTGAAATCTAATTGAAAATGAAATTTGGAAAATCGTTGGAAAAAGGCAAATAATTCTTTTTTTCTTCTCCCCCTCCTTTCCTTGTTTTCGGCCCGCAAGCCATTTCCCTGGCAACCGTCGGCCACTCCCCTTCTCCTGGCAAGCGCTGCCACCTACCTCGGCCGCTCGGCCCAGCCAGCCGCCCACCACCCAACCGGGCGCCTCCTTCGCTCTCGGCCACCACCACCGGGCCCACTGGTCAGGTCTCTCTTCCCCCACCTTTCTCCCACATGACCAAGAATCGGCAACAAGCGGTCGAGCCAAGAACCAAGCGCCCTCTCACAGATCGTCGGGCGCGCGTCGCCCACTCCTCGGCCTCAATTTAAAAGAGCCGAGCCCCTCCTGCACGTCCCTCTCTCGCTCCCGCTCCAATTTTGCCCTCGCTCACGCACCGGGGCCCCAAAGAACTGTCGCTCCGAGGTCGCCGATCCGCCGTCCGCCTCCCTCGCTACACCACCACCGCCACCGAGCCGCCTCGCTCCGATTTTTCGCCGTGGTGAGCATCTCCGTACTCTCCCCTCCCCTCCCATGCTTTTCGTTTCTCGTTTCTTGGCTTCTCGAGCCCTGGCTGCGAGCTCCTCAAGCCGTGGTCGCTGGCCATGGTGGCCACCGCTTAGCCGCTGCTTCGCCGCCAGAACGGCTTGGCCGAGACCCCTTCCTCCCCGCGTCCCCCGTGCGCTTTCGGATTTCGTTTGGTGAACCCTAGCCTCTAATCGCACGCGATCGAGACCTCCACGCCAAGCAATGGCGCGCTGGCACACGCCGGTGACCCCTGTTCCGCCGCCATCTTCATCTCTCTCTCTCGATCAAATCCGATCCGTCCATTTTAAATCCAACGGCCGAGAACATCCGATACCCCTTCGCGGGTGATTTTGCATAAGAGCCCCTGTACTTTTCTAAGTCTTAACCCGCAGCCCAAAACGTATTTCCTCGAATGCGCAATCTAGATTAGAAAGCGTAAACTCCACGGTTTAAGTCAAAAGTACGCTTTCAGTATTTACAGAAATGCCATTTGAACTGTTTCGCTTATAAAATTGTCGTTTTAGCTCCGAATTGATCCATTCAAATCGCGTTAGCTTCGTAATTTCATAAGCTACATGTTAGAACTACTGTTAGTCAAGTTTGGAACTTTTTAATTTCATGATTAGATTTAATTAAATATATGGCTATAGGAAAACCCGTTTAAATCATAACTTTCGCATTTTAGCTCCGTTTTTCGTGAACTTCGCGTTGACGTGATCGTAGCGAGACGTAGAATATGTTTACAAATATTTTATCTTGTTTTCAATACTGTTGGTGTACTATTCTAATTATAGGAATGTTTGCTTTGCATGAATGCTTTTGGAATGTTGTATGTTGCCGTGTTGGTCGCGTTCAGACGGTGAGGAAAACGTTGGAGACCAAGAACTCTTCGACGACCAGCAGGACCAGCACGAGTTTGTGAACCAAGGCAAGTATAACATGGGCCTTCCTTGATGTCTTAATTCACTTTAATCAATTACTCATTTGCATGTGTCTAATCTTGATACCCGTAAGGACATCCTAGTGATTGTTTATCCTGTTCCTTGTCTCCTATGGGTTAAATGCATATGGGTAGATTGCTAGTGCTCTAAGTGAACTTGATATACCTGTTGATGAATGATACTATGGAACAAAGTGAGTAACATGATTTATAACAACTGTTCCATAGGGCGAAAGTGCAAATGACCTTTGTTCATGTTGCTCCCGGCCCTCCATAAGGACTTATCTGTCGGCAAAAACTGGGACTGACAGTGCAACCGGGAGAGTCATATGGCTCTGACTTTAGCTCAGTAATAGGACCTTTTATAGCTAGTTAGAGGTTACCTTTTTGGCGCAAATGGGGCTTGCCACGTTGGGTATAGGGCTGCCTCTGTTCCTATGTGTATAGCCGCGATGGATATGTGCCATAGGAAAGGGGGGTTCCTACATCTGCCTGCCAAGGAAACCTAGCGGCCCTAACTTGTTAGGGAAATCTATGAAATGGCTTCATAGTGTACCCTGCCCGCTCACCTTGGAAGTGACATGGGAGTAATTAACCCGGGCATATGGGGATCACGACTCGCGGTGAATGTGCACCACCTCTGCAGAGGGTAACAAACTGTTATAACAGCCGTGCTCACGGTCACGAGCGGCCCGGAAAACTCACAGAATAGATGGCTACTTATAATGTTGTTTATACGAGATGATTATGATGATGTCACATGACTCAATTGGATCGGATATATGATCACGTGGGTTTAAATGGGAGCTTAAGCATAACTTGATAATAGTTGAGGATAAAATCTTGACTTACTAAAAGTGCTAACTGCAGTAAACCAGTGTCAACCTTTTTGAGCTTCATAACCCCATGTTATCTTGTTGAGTACGGGATGTACTTACGCTTGTTTACTTTCTATATTTGGATAAAAATCCCGGATGGGTAACAGATGACAACGGATATAAGGAGTTTCCTGAGGATTATTAGACTTGTGGTCAACCAGTCGACCGTCCCTGTGATGGAGTTCCACGAGAGAGTTATCTTTTTATCTTCCGCTGTGTTATGTAAGTCAATGTGATGCTATTATTCGTTACGTAAGATACACCGTGATGATACTTTTTATAATTTGTCAACTTATGTGTGTGACTGATCCCTGGGCACACATGAGTTTAGTGCATTCAATTTTATCCTTAAAATTGGGTGTGACACTTAGATATCCAAATTTTGACCCTAAACGAAGAACCAAACGTTTGGACCTGCATATGGCAATCAGGTAGCTACTCAGTCTCTAAAGCTTACAGGCACCTCAGTGGTCATGCTATAGTCCATCCTGCTTTTAAGAGAATTTGGAAGATCTCTTGTCAGAGCAAACACAAGATCTTCAGTTGGCTGATGCTAAAAGACAGATTAAGCACCAGGGAGCTTTTAAGAAGGAAAAATATGGAGCTTCAGGACTACAATTGCGTCTTATGCAATGGGCTTATAGAGGAATCTCTATGTCATCTTTTCATCCACTGTCCTTTTGCAACTTCCTGTTAGAATTGGTTGTAGGTTCAAACAGATCAGCGGATGGATTTTCTTCGGAATATAGAGTTGTTCAGAAGGCAGCTCAAAGTGCCTTTCTTCACATAAATCATAATAATCATGTGATTTTCAACCAAATCCAATCTTCAATTCAAGCATCCATGAGAGAGTTCAAAAATGAGTTCACGCTGCTTCTTTTGCGCGCCAAAAAGAAATTCTTTTCCTCAATAGAATTATGGTTAAACAATCTAGTATAATTTCTCTAGCTTGGTTCATCTTTTTTTTTTCTTGAACTCTCCCTTTCTCTCTATATCTGCTTGTTTTAAAATTTCTTAATAAAATTCAGTAGGGGCAAGCCCCTCCTGTTCCCCTCAAAAATATTTGGGACCTCATCTGACATTTACGATGATAAGCCTTATAGCTTAATGGATAGCCTTATAACTCAATTCTACAAATTCGATATACTTGACCTCAAGAAGAATTAAATTTCTTGTGGACTCATCCACAGACGTTAATACATATTACATAATGATCTGGAGTACCTGCAAAACTCGTGTATTTAGGACAATAAAAAGGTTTCTGGCTTGCAAGAAATGCTGATAGCAGAAATATAACTTGGTTCGTAAACCTGCCTTTCAATGTTTTGACAGTACAAAATCCACGGGGAAGTGTCTAACAAGTTTGGAAAGTCATGCGTATATTTTGAAGAACTATCCAGATCATTATACACATCAAACATCATGTTACATGTGTATTCTCTGTACACATAATGATGGTAGAAATTTTGAACAGTGATGAACTACAAGCTTATTATCTGAATGCCGAAGTCTGATACTACAAAATCAATCCATTCCACGGCCCTTGGTCTCTACAGGGAAGAACATGCAGGCAACTGCAGCAAGGCATAATATCACCTCAAACACAATAAGTGCTTCCATCTGGTGGCAGCTCCGCAGCATAGCGACAGCAACAAGAGGGCAAATAACCCCGCCAATTCTACCAACGGTGGTTGCAATTCCTGCAACGGTTGAGCGGACAACTGTTGGATATACCTATGAAAAGAAAGAAGGGAATTAGCTGCCAAGGCATAATCTGTGACCACCAAAACTAGCAAAGCATGTTTAGAGTCTAAAGAACCACAGGAACAAATAAAAGGCAATTAGTAAAGGAGAACGCATAGTAGATCCAAATAGACGTGGGATACTCTGGTATTGAGCCCTGTTCTATGATTCTTAATTGATGGCAGTTTTACAGATTAATTAAGCATGGTATAACTAATATTATGCACCATACGACACTGATACAAACCTCTGGAGCATAAAGACACAAAACTGTAAAGCTCCCCATGGCACACGCACGGGCACCGAATAGAAGAATAGTTGTCAACAGCTCATTCTGTTGAAGTACAAGTGGTCCAAGGAAAGCACAGCATGCGAACATCATAGACCACATCGAGGAGTTATCTTATTTCTTACTCGCCCCCGCGTCGCTCCCCCACGCGGGCGACACGGGTGGCCGCGCCCTCCCAAACCCTAGCAGCCGCCCCATCCCTCCCCTCCCCCTGCCACGCCGCCGCCGGAGCTGGCCGCCGGCATGGCCACGCGGCTCGCCGGGATGGCGGTGGCGGGGCTCCCCCTCTCCTCGCGATTTGGTGGCGCAGGTGACAGCGGGGCGGCGGCTCTCCTCCCACACGGGCTGCGTGGAGCCCGGCAGGGGCGTCCGCCGCGGCTGTTGGCGGCGCCGGCTGGTGTCCGGCTGGCGCGTGGGGATGGCGGCGGATCCCATTCTCCCTCGCCCGTCCCTTCCTCCAGTCTTGGCGGCGGCGGCGGCGTTGGCCCGGATCGCTGGATCCAGTCCTGGGCGGCTGGATCCGGTGTCCATGCGGCCAGATTTGGAGCTCCGGCACCTGGATCCGGCACTCTCTCGAAGGGCTGGAGAGGGTGGTGCTTGGCCAAGGCGGAGGCGGCGGCGACAGCAAAGGGTGTCGGCACCGGTGCTCTATTGCCGGTTCTGACGCCACTGGGCAGGGGGCGGCGCCCACGGGGGTGGGGCACGTGTCTGGTGGTGGCTAAAGTCGGGTCGCAGCGTCGGCAGCACGTGCCAAGAGCCGACGACAGCGGCTGCCTGAGGCGTTGGTCGTGCGGCGGTGTTTCGCGAGCAGCGGAGTCAGGTCCGGCTCCGCGTTGTCCGGCCGGAGGGGGTGACGGCCGACGCAGCTGTGTGGCTGCTGCGTGCAGCCGCGCGCGTCGAGGCCCCTCTGAAGGGGTTACTGTGGAGTGGCAGGACAACGGTGATGGCTGTGATGGATGGCTAGGGGCCTTGCTTCTTGGGCCGACGTTCGTGCTTGAGGACTCCTTAGGCGAAAGCCTAGCGACGGCGACACATGTGGGTGCCGCTTTCCCAGTTGGGGGCGTCGTGTATCCCCTCTAGCACTATCATCCAAGGGTGAAAGCCCGGTCCACTCTGGACGTGCGACGGTGGCGCCATCGGCGTTGCTACCTTCCTGAAGGCGTCGTGTTTGGATTTCGTCGTGGCCTCGATGTCTCCTCGGTGATTGTTCTTCGCTTCTTGGCGCCTCGACGACGCGTGGAGGCGGGTCTTGCTGCGAGAAGTCGAAGCTGCTGCGTCAGGGACGTGGCTCAGCAACGATGACATGCGGCGAGCCCCCACCTTCATCGTAGGCTGGGGTCTGCTAGGGGTCGGCAAGCGCTGGAGGCGAGGCGTGTGGCCGTGATTGGAAGTCAGAGCTGCTCTTTGCGGGGTGCTTGAGCTTGGCAACGATGACCGGTTGCGGCCTCTTGCTTCGGGCTCGTTGGTGGGTGGCTTGTGTGTGGACTGCCATGAGAAGTCGGTGCTGCTGGCGTCTTCAGCCATGCTCGGCAACGATGACTCATGGTAGTGTGCCATGTTAGTGCTCAGCTGCGTCGTGTAGGTTGGTTAGCCTATCGGATGCGCTTTTTGTCATCCCGTTGGCTAGCTCTCTTGTACATAAATTCTTTCTGTCTTAATTGAGCGGTAGAGCTCCTGCCTTTGTTTCAAAAAAAAAAAATAGACCACATCGAAGCTTTTCGACCAAACCAATCAACAAGAACAGCAGACAAAAATAAACCTGGGATTTCTGTAGAGATTTGAAACCACAAGTTAGCGTGATATTCCAGTTAGACATAACAGGAGGCAAAAAGAAAATAAGGGGGTTATCATATGATACCTGCTAAACTAGTGATGAAAGTGTCTTTGTAAAGATTGGTAACCTTTTGGTGCAGGCCAACATTCACACCAGACGCACAGCTTTTATTTGCATCACTCAACTGTGATGTCAGCAATACTAACCCGTAATAAGCAAAGGAATTTGCATAGAAAACAAACCAAAGAAGAAGAGTTGATCTGAGCAGTTTGCGCGATAATAGTATGCGCAATGCAGCAAGACTGCCAGATTCGGAGCTCTTGGCATTGTCAACTGTGCATTCCTTCTCTCTGACAGGAAGAAGACATTCACTCTCAGAAGCAAGAGTGTCGTGGTCAAATTTTGTTTGTCTATTGTATGTGAGAATTCCAGGAGGAAGAGCTGATTGGTTTGCATTGGCCATTCTCTCCAGGACAGCAGTGGCATCGGACATTCTATTTTGTGCACAAAGGTAGCGCGGAGACTCAGGTGTTAATCCAAAGAAAGGAAGCAAGAGGAAGCATGGAAGGGCGGTGAATACTAGCAGCCACCTCCAATTCAATGCTGGTAATACGACCTACAGCAACAAATACAAATATAAATTACTAAAAACTAACAGAAAAGAAAGTAACCAATATAATGTAAGCAAGAAGCATCATTAAACTGATTACCAAATTTAAAATTTACTGCATTTCAGCTATTTTAACTTACTGCAGAAAGTTCAACAATTCAGATTGCCCACATTATGGCATCATAATATTGTAATAGAATAAAAATATTATCAGCATGTGCATGCAAATGACATATGTGCTTGACACGAAACATTCTGGCACAGGCACATGGTTTCAGAAACATGCTTGAATCATATTCCACCATATTCTACGGAAAGTGTACTGAAGGGCGGGCCTGGTGCAAGTGGTAGAGTCTTACCGCCTGTGACCGGAAGGTCCCGGGTTCGAGTCGCGGTCTCCTCGCATTGCACAGGCGAGGGTAAGGCTTGCCACTGACACTCTTCCCCAGACCCCGCACAGAGCAGGAGCTCTCTGCACTAGGTACGCCCTCTACAGAAAGTGTACTCAAGGTTCTTTCTGGTTCTACATAGGCACTATAACTATAGTTTACTCTTCATTCAGATTTTATTTTTTTAAACAGCATGCTCATGTGATTGGGAACAATTTAGCATGCTAAGGATTGCATCTAAAAGGAACAAAAATTATCATTACCCATGCAAATGAAGCTTCCAAGATTGTGCCGAGAGTCCAGAAAAGGGAGAAAATAACCATCCAAGTGCCACGATTTTGTGCAGGAACAAATTCCAAAAACCAAGATATAAACACATGGCTGCCACCCACTCCTACTCCAACGAGAAACCGAAGAGCCACCAAGCATAAGTAGTTAGGAGATAAAGCACTTAGAAAACCCATTCCACTAGTAAACAGAGTTGAAAAGATTAAACCAGTCCTGAAATAGGGGAAATGTAAGTTTTAGCTCATTTATGCTTGAAACAGAGGAAGTTGAAACAGAGTAAGGAATGTCATTGAAAGAAAAGAAAATATCCAACTTATCCCTTTCTAGTTTCATGAAAGTCCTGATTAGATCCTCTGCAAAAAGCAGGTTTTTAATACCCATTTTCTAAGCCAGAGCATTATATAGAACTAACTCTTCAAAATAGTTCTCAATGTGTTATTGCAATGTTACTGTGGATCCCTCTTGGCATCCAGATATAGGAAAAGTAGAGAGAACAGATACGAGAAATGAAGGAAAATTATCTATGCTTTTTTACCCTGTAATCCTTGTGAATCATTGTATGACGTACCTTGCTGACATGGCTAGTTAGTTTGCCGACGAAGCAAATCTAGCCCAGCCGGATGCCATGAGCAAACCACTACCAATACCGCTGTAAAGATGAAAATTGCAATGGTTCTCAAATTTGAGAAGGTAAATAGCTGCTTTTGTAGTAAAAAGGTCAAATATGTACTTGCATGAAAGTAGATGATGGTAAATTAGAATTTATCCTATAGAAAACATTGCAGATTTCTTCATTTTTGTGTCATTTTGCCATTAGGTTTCAATGTGCTGGTGGCTTCTTGCTGAAGTGCATTATTCAGTGTTGAGGTTGTATTTGGTAAGCAGTTGCAGTTATAGTCACATCATACTAAGCATATATTACTTTATACTTAAAAAAAATCTATAAAACAAAAAGAACATCCCATTAGCACATATACAGACACATGTAGATCGAACCTTAAGAACTGATATGGTTAATTTGAGGTTATGATAAACTCAAGGTCAGGAAGGTTCAGTTGACAACCAAATCATGAGAGCGCTTGCGCTTGTACCAGGAAACCCTTACCTCCGTCCATATTTGTCGGAAACAAAGCTCCAAGCACAGGCTGAATTTGGCTGAAAAACACTGTTCCGGCCGAATTGTTGTGAGAGAAAGACTAAAAAAAAGAAGCCGAACACGTCAAAACTTAAGGTCAGACGAACGGGTGGCTCTCGTTCTCTAGGGAGACGTTCCACTCCTCTCGTATGAATGGCCCAAGAAACGACAAGAGCATGAGCTCCATGGCTTCTGCAACCCAGCCCATCCCAGCGTAGAACAGAACAAGCGCTTGGAATTTCCCAAACCCCATCATGGAGAGTGCGTCATCTGTAGTATATGTCTCCACGTTGGGAGCCATCGCCTGCGGATCCAGAGAAGTCATTCTGTCAGATTAGGATGTGAAGCACGAACGGCCCAGAGCTATACTGTCTGCATTTTTTTTTCTTTTTTCTTTTTTTTTTTGGAAACTGATCTGCAAGCTTCTAACTGAAGTACTGAACAAGGCGCAAGGGAAGCATTTGAGCTCACCGACAGACAATATTATCAATTTACGCCACGGAAAGGAATATCCATGGAGGGAAAAGGATATAAATTTAAGTTTCAAGTAGTCGATTGGATTAAGGATTTCCATGGCCAACTAATAAAAAAACAGAGATCGGTTGATCGACGGAGTATGAAAAACCAACCAGAGCGCAGGGTTTTTTTTTTCTCCCAAAAAAATTCTGCTCCTTGACGCAACGTAACCCCGGAAAGTGTAAAAGCGGGTAGATAGAATAAACATGAGGTCCGTATCAAGAACAGTAAAAAATAATCCCCCTGAGAGGACAAGACGGCACCAAGAACAGGCGGGCCCCCTCGAACTTTTAACCACCAGCCACAATGGAAGAGCTGAAAATCTCAGGAGCAAACGGGGTGGGCGATCGACGAGCACTGGACGGCGGGGGACGGACGGAGGGAGGGATCGGAGAGAGGGCCGGCGGACGTGGGGGAGGGAGGCGGCTAATTTCCGTGGCAGGCACGCCGGTGTCGTGTCGGCGCCGGGTTTCCTTCCAGGGATGCGATGCGAGGGGAGAGAGGGGGTTTGTTGGGGGGAGGGGAGCGAATGCGCAATTGCAGGGAAGAGGACGACGGGGAGAGGGAAGACGGGCAATGGCGTCGCGCCGCGCGCGGCCGCGCGCACTCAACGAATGAGGAGACCAAACTACCCGTGTGGTCGCACGAGGTTTTTGCGTGGCCGTCGAGCTCCAGGTGGCGGCTGGGGTCCACGCCGCGCTCCTCGCGTCACGTCTGCACGCGACGAGTTCCCATATCCACGGGACTTTTATACCTTTTCGAGGTAAATGTATACAGATGTCATTTAGGTCCATAAACTCTCTAATCGTATTTCTGGTATTTTAATGTGGTTTAAGTATGCTACTTAGATCCATAACTCATCGGAACAAGGTTTTAGCCGACGTGGCGTGGACAGAGTGCACGTGGCGTCGCTGGGCCAGCTCTAGAGCCTCCAGACGCTGTCCATCTACACCACGGCGCTCTCCGGCGCCATCCCGCCGGAGCTAGGGAAATGCCCCAACCTCACCAACATCTACGTCTACGAGAACTCGCTGTCCGGCCCGCTCCCCCCGTCGCTCGGCGCGTTGCCGCAGCTGTAGAAGCTACTGCTGTGGCAGAACGCGCTCACGGGCCCCATCCCGGACTCCTTCGGCAACCTCACCTCGCTTGTCTCGCTCGACCTCTCCATCAACTCCATCTCTAGCACCATCCCGCCGTTGCTGGGCCGGCTCACGGCGCTGCAGACCTCATGCCCAATGACAACAACAACATCACCGGCACCATCCGCCCGGAGCTCGCCAAATGCCACGTCGGCCGGTGCAAACCGCAGTCGACGACACAACGAGATCTCTAGCCTCATCCGCCTGATCTCGGCCGGGCGACGACGCTGCAGTGATCTTCACGTGGCGAGAACCACACCGGAGGGCGCCATCCCGCCCACGCCACGTCCCCTGTCCAACCTCCAGCGCCGACCTCTCGACAACCACCTCACCCGCGTCATACCGCCGGGCCTCTTCCCGCTCCGCAACCTCACCAAGCTGCTTTGCCGCCGAGATCGGCAAGGCCGCCCGACCTCATGCGCTTTCGCCTCGGCGAAGAACCGCATTGCCGGGTCCATCCGGCGTCCGTGTCCGCATGAAGAGCATCAACTTCTCGACCTCGAGCAACCGGCTGGCTGGCGGGCGGTGCCGGCCGAGCTGGAAACTGCTCGTAGCTCCGGATGCTTGACCTCAACAACAACTTCGCTCACCGGCCATCGCTGAAGTCGCTCGCCTGTGCACGCCTGCAGAGCTCGACGTCTCGCACAACAAAGCTCAACGGCGCCGCGTCGGACACGCTTCAAGAAGTCGGAGACACCGAGCGGAGCTCGTGCTCGGCCGGCAACTCACGGTCGGGGCCGATATCACGGCGCGCCGGGCGGTGCCGCAACCTGGAGCTCCTCGACCGAGTGACAACGAGCTCACCGGAAACATCCCGACAAGCTCTGCGGCATCGATCGCTCGACATCGCGCTGAACTTGAGCCGAATGGCCTCACCGGGCCGATCCCATCCAAGATCTCCGCTACCGAGCAAGCTCTCGGTGCTCGACCTCTCGTATAACACGCTCGACGGCAGCCTCGCGTCGCTCGACGGGCTCGACAACCTTGTCATGCTCAACGTGTCCAACAACAACTTCTCCGGGTACCTCCCAGACACGAAGCTATTCCGGCGCTCTCTCGCCGTCCCCGCCTCACCAAGAACGCTGGCTCGCACTAAAAGGCGGGGACGTATGCTTCGTGAGCATCGACGCCAACGGTCACCCAGTGACGAACATGGCCAAAGATGCCCAGCACGTGCACCGCCTCAAGCTCGCCGAGAGCGGCGGTCCTCGGCATGATCGGCCTACTTCGAGCGCGGCGAATGGGCTTTGGAGGGAAGAATGGCAGTGGCGGCGGTGGCAGCGACTCCGAGAGCGGCGGCGAGCTGTCGTGGCCGTGGCAGATCACGCCGTTCCACAGAAGGTGAGCTTCTCCGTCGACCAGGTGGTGAGGAGCCTGGTGGACGGCAACATCATCGGCAAGGGCTGCTCCGGCATGGTGTACCGCGTGAGCATCGACACCGGTGAGGTGATCGCCGTGAAGAAGTTGTGGCCCAGCACCCACACGGCCGCAACGGCGACATGCAAGACGGGCGACGGCACGAGCGGTCGCGTCTGGGACTCGTTCTCGGCGAAGGTTCGCACGCTGGGCTCCATCCGGCACAAGAACATCGTGCGGTTCCTGGGGTGCTGCTGGAACAAGAGCACCCGGCTGCTACGACTACATGGCCAACGGTAGCTTGGGCGCGGTGCTCCACGAGCGGCGCGGCGCCGGCGCGCAGCTGGAGTGGGACGTGTGCTACCGCATCGTGCTCGGCGCCGCGTAGGGGATCGCTCTGCTTATTTGCACGCCCCAAACCAGGCTCACGCGCGGCTCACGTGCGCTCTGCCCACGCCACGTCGGCCAAAACCTTGTTCCGATGAGTTATGGACCTAAGTGGCATACTTAAACAACATTAGGGTGCCAGAAGTACGATTAGAGAGTTTGTGGACCTAAGTGGCACTCGAAGACAAGTTCAAGGGCCTACGATGCATTTACCTCTACCTTTTTATATTGTTCTTATATTATATAAAAAAATAATATTCCGTTTGTTTCCACTTTACTAGCAAATATGAACGTGCGGCACGCACGTGTTTATCAAAAACATCATTAAACAATTAATACTACGCTAGAAAAACTAAATCGTTAGCTTCAATGAGATTCAGATTCCATGAATATCCATTTCTTATTTCTTAATGCATATATCAGTAAAGCCGACAATGAGATCAATAATGTCCAGGAGTTTAATTAGGAATAAAATATGTGCCTATATATATATGAGCAAAGAACCCTAACCAATTAGCAATATAACCAAGATTGGATAAGAATAGAAAAGAAAATACCTAACATTCACCATGTCGTGCTTTATTAATTCGATGAAGCGATCGATCGAGAGTACGCATCGCATATGCACGCATAGACGCGAGTGGCCAGTTGGTTGTAGCCGTGTCATAGGACCTGAGTTCATCGTCGTACGTAGTATGTCAGGGTGGGCGTTCGGTTCTCGGTTCGGTTTCGGTTCGGTTTCTTCGGTTATCGAAGAAATTCGGTTCCTAGAAAACGGGAACCGATCGGTTTCAAAAAAATTTAGGAACCGAGCATTTCGGTTCTCGGTTATTTCGGTTCGGTTCCGGTTCTAACCGAACTAACCGAATTTTTTCAGAAGACCTCAAGACAATAATAAATATACTTGTTCTAAGGCAAATTTATGCAACACTATATTCATTTTTAATAATAATAATATATAAGAAAACAATAGCAATATAGTAACACAAATATATAGCAGTTCAAATATAAAACACTACACATAATCCTACAAAATACAAGTAAGTGAAGTATAATTCATGTAATTCGGTTCTTTCGGTTAATTCGGTTAACCGAGAGTAGGAACCGAATTTTCTTCGGTTATTTCGGTTCTTCAATATCAGGAACCGAATAAGGAACCGAAATTTTCGGTTCCGGTTCTTTCGGTTTCGGTTCCGGTTCTTTCGGTTCGGTTCTCGGTTCTCGGTTATTTTTGCCCAGCCTTAGTAGTATGTTCCATCATTAGTCGTGGATCTAGGATTTTACTAAAGGATATATATCGTACCGAAAATTTCACATGTAATTCGATAAATTCATTTTCTAGTTTAGAGTATAGTTATAAAATACACTAGTAGAAAAACGACTTTTGATCCACTTCAAAATTTGGCTTTAGTCCCGATATTTTTCGCGCCCGGGACTAAAGAAACCTTTAGTCCCGGTTGGTAGCTCCAATCGGGACTAAAGGTCCCTGCCCAATGGCTACTGCGGCAGGCTTTTGCTGCAGGGGACCTTTAGTCCCGGTTGGAGCTACCAACCGAGACTAAAGGTTAACTTTTACTCCCGGTTGGTCCCTCCAACCGGGAGTAAAAGTCTACTCCCGGCTGGAGGCTCCGTCCGGGACTAGAAATGGACCTTTAGTCCCGGTTGCTGTCTCCAACCAGAACTAAAGGTTCCCTCCTATATACCCCTTCTTCCTTTCCGAGCCCGAGCTGATTCACTGTCCATAATCTCAGTCCATCGCCTTTTCCAGTGACCCCTGTCCTTATCCCTTTGTTCCTCCCGTGGCTTCTCTCTATTATCTGCTTGTTGTGTGGTAGCCAGGCCCTGAAGTTCGCAAGTGCTGGCAAGCATCCTCGTTCCTCTTTGCTTCTTGACCAAAATCCAA